TTTTTCTTACATGAATCTCATTTCAAACAATTCATCAACATCATTCATAGCAGTGAATCTTGCCTGACTGCAGGTCTAACCGCCGGGTCAGTGGAGTGTAAAAGTTGTGGAAATTATTTGTCAGAAAATTATGTTTTAAAATAATTTTCTGCCAAATGGTTTCTTCTTCTTTTGCCGGGTCAAATAATAATAATAAAATAAGTGAAGTTTGAAGTGTGAATTGTGTTTTAGATAAAATGTATTTATTTCTCAAATTCTTTTTCAAAATTTGTAGAAAACGAGTGCAAATTTATTTTTATAAAAATTTTAACCGAGAACTTAGAATTTTTGGCCAAAGTATTAAAGAAACATCAGCAAGAAAAAGACTAAGTATTGTACGAATTTATTTTTTTCCTGAATATATGGTAAGTTTTTTTTGTTTCAGTAACTCCAATGACCAATGAGTGCGTGTTGTTTTTTCGAGTGCTTAATAGACATTTAGTAGTGCGCGGTTTTAAAATTTCGAGTGATTAGTGAGTGCCAATGGAGGAAATGGAAGAAGATAATCGTGCTACAAGGGTCCGGATTAAAGGGTAAGTCAACAATACTTTTTAAATTTTTAGAAAAATTACACTTATTAAATTGTATTTAACATTTTCAACTATTTTAATAACACGTTATACTGATTTTATGTTTCTTTATTTTCAGTAGGTCCGTATAAGAAGCAGAGGCAAATTGCTACAAAGGGTAGCAGAAGAAGATGCCATAAAGGTTAGTGCATTTTATTTTTATGTTTACTGCAAAGTGAAGTGTGAGAATTTGTGATTTTTGGGTGCAACAGTAAGTATTGATCAAATTATGAATAGAAATTAATTGTGTTTTAGATAAAATGTATTATTTTTTAAACTCTTCTTCAAAATTTGCAGAAGACGAGTGCAAATTTACTTTTAAAATAATTTTAACAGAGAAATTATTATTATTTTCGATTACATACAAGACACACATAGACAAGACAGACAAGACAGAACCAACAAAAATATTTAAATGCAAATGAAACATGTGGAACATGAAAAAGGTCAACATAATACCAATAATGATTTCCGCAATTGGAGTTGTACCAAACAAGTTAAAAGTATAAATCTTGAACGTTGAAAATTAAATTCAAATTTAATTATTGAGATATTGAGATTTAAAAACTTGTAATGTTATTAGGAAATGTATCAGTATTAACGAAACTCATTTTAGTAACATTAATAATAATAACTTCATTAATTACAATAAATAATTCTGTAATAAATAATAAAAATAAATAAAAAATAATAAAAATAAAATAAAAATAATAATAATAAAGTTGCGTGGCGAAAGATCTGTAGTGACGTTAGATTGGGGAATTTAGGGGCTTTTTCTTACATGAATCTCATTTCAAACAATTCATCAACATCATTCATAGCAGTGAATCTTGCCTGACTGCAGGTCTAACCGCCGGGTCAGTGGAGTGTAAAAGTTGTGGAAATTATTTGTCAGAAAATTATGTCTTAAAAATAATTTTCTGCCAAATGGTTTCTTCTTCTTTTGCCGGGTCAAATAATAATAATAAAATAAGTGAAGTTTGAAGTGTTTTTGTACTTATTAAAATAGAATCTCTTATGTAAATAAAAATAACTCAAAATAAAGCAATTAAAGCAAAGAATTTAGTTTTTTTATTACTGTTAGTTGACGCATTCGTATCAATAAATAATTATAGAAAAGGCCGATTGCATAAACCCACTCATTACAACGCGTCTATTATTAAAAATTCTCTTTACGTTTCTCTCGAACGTTCATCCATTTTTAAAATTGTTGTTCACCTGTGTTTCACGATAAACGTAATTCCTGTATTATTAATCATTGAACGAATTAATAGAAATGTCTTAAGGGGCTTTAGCAGGTGAAAGGAAGTCGCAGACAAACCGGAACGAAAAATTTTATGTTATTTTGAGCAGTAAAAATGCCGCTTGAAATTTCTCACAATTATCGGAGAATGTTTCACAGTAGTTCAAAAATGAAAAATGTGTATTGGCTTTTGTTAAATCATTACTCTTCGTATTATTTCCTCTCTTCCTGCTTCTCACCTCACAATTGCACACTTCCTCGGAAGTAATTACATCCGAGATGCCTCTGGGAAAGTGTCATGAGAAATTATTCAAATTTGATCTTGCTTTGCTTACGTAACAACATATTAAATCACAACTTTTCCTCTCATTTGCGCGAGTTCAATTTTTTTCAAATAATTTTCTCTTATTTCACTTTCGATAACTTTCACCGAACATCCCAAAATTGGCCCATCGCGTGCCCATGACACGTACCACAAAGACTAATTCCGCCTCTGGGCGATTTTTTTCCCTCGGATCATTGACCATTTCGGATGCAATAAAATTTTTCGCCCCCACTCGACTTCCTCCCATGAGATTTAACCCAAGTTATAAATATATGTCAAAGCAAAAACGGCCAGTTTGGTACTTGCGCCGTCGCCGCAATGAACCCTCTGTGTGCTTATCTCGGGTACCTTTTCGTCAACTACTGTCTCAACGACAAGGTTCAAAATGAACCCATCAAACCCGTCAAGAACCAAACGTTCCAGTTGGAGTACCAGTGGCACTACGTTAACTTCACGTGGCCCACGTATGAAGACTACAAGAAGGCTGTGATCAAGCGGAAGTACATCCCGGAAAATGTTGCCATCACCGGAATCAAGTACCACAAAGGGGACCTCTACCTGGCTTTACCGCAAATCCGGAAAGGAGTTCCYGTGACTCTGGGSAAAATCTCGACCGAATCCGGGCCCAAAACCAACCCATTGGTGCACCCATACCCCAGTTGGGACCACCAGCCCCGGAGTAAAGACTGCACGACCTTGCAAAGCGTCCAGAATATGGAAATCGACAAAAATGGGATCATGTGGGTCCTTGATGGGTTCCGGATCAACAACAACACCAGATGCCCCCCGAAATTGGTCCTTTTCGACTTAAACAACGACGGGAAAGAAATCCTCTCGTACATTTTTCCCAAAGATATTTGCTCGAGTCAAGGGGGCCACCTCAAAGACATCGTGATTGACAGTACCAACGAAGAGTTCGCGTACATCACCGATAATAGTTTCCTCGATCCGGGCCTGATTGTGTACTCCAAGGGCCAAAACCGGGCCTGGAAACTCCGGGACCGGACCATGTTTGACGAAGAGGACGCCTCCGGATTCATTGTCGGTAATTTGACTTACAAAGGATTGGCACCTTTGGACGGAATTGCCCTCTCGCCCATACTCCCCAAGACCCGGAATCGCCTCTTGTTCTACTCTCCCCTAGCCGGGATGAATCTCTACGCCATCAAAACCAAAGTCTTGAAGAGTGAAAGATTGATCAACAGCGGTGATTGGAGGAGGGCCATCAAGGTTGTCGGAAAAAAACAAAGTCAGAGTGATGGCTTGATTATGGACAACAAGGGGAATCTCTACTACACCCTCCCACCCTTGTACGGGGTGGGAAAATGGAACATGCATGAGGAGTTTTCCACGGCGAAAATCATGGCCGAGGACAAAAACATGCTCTGGACGGGGAGTTTCGCATTCGACGATTTTGGAAATTTGAGGTTGTTGACCAACAACATAAACAAATACATGGACGCAAATTTCCCCCTGAAATTGAGCCAAGAAGTCATGTTCAAAATTTTCAAGTATTTCACGGGGACGAAGAGCTATCTAGAATAAGTATTTATTGTGATTTTTGTTGATTCGTTATAATTAGGTTTAGATCCACTACACAAAGAGTAGGTAGGTTGAGACACTTTCAAGTCATTTTTTTAATAAATTTATGTATATTTGATTGCCAAATATAAGTTTATTTTCATATTTTGTGTCGCTTAATTTATACAAATGGGTGCGCAATTACCTGTTCTCCTTTCGATTGTCTAAAACAGAATCTCGGTTTAAGAGATTTGGGGCACTTTCATTTCATACAAATTTGGTAATTAATTAGATTAATAATTCTTTAGATGTCGAATAGTGTGATGAAATGTTTGTTGCAAGGATAAATTTCGGGCAATAATAATAAGTAAAATCACCTAATATTGAAATGGTAACAAATTAAATGCACAGTATATTATTTCAACGACAAGTATTTTTGATCAGTAAAAATATAAATGCACAGTAAAGACAAATGAATGAAGTTCTAGCAAAACTAATTAATTTAATATTCACACATTTACAAACACAATGTTTGCGAGCACAATCGAAATATTGCAAAGCGTTCAAAACAAAATTGTGCTATCACAGCAGTCCAAAGAGTGGCGTACGCTAATTAGACTGATTACCATTTGTGCACAGTTTCCAGCCCTTGCTAAAATCATTCTTGCGCAGGGGCCCTTGCTAATACACATTCGACCCTCCAATAATAATAAATATTCAGTAATATAAAAATAAGTACCAATAATAAATAACATTCTTGCTCAGGGGCCATACAGTGTTAAGTAACCAAGACTGACTTTAAATTTTATGTTGTTTTACTAACTTTGATTAAAGTTACTGAGAGTTTATTATTTTTACTGAGCAAATTACAAATTTTACTTAGCATTTATTATTTTTACTGTGTAAAAATTAATTAAATACTGATCATTTTTCATTTTATACTGATCAAAACTGAATTATTTACTGATCGCTTTATTACTGAAATTCTGTTTTCGGCTAATAACATTAATAAAACAAGCAACATTTTCATTTTTCGAATTACAATATTTCGAATAATTAAAAAAATAAATGGATAAAACACAAAAAACAAGTGTAAGAAGCAAATTATTTTTTAAATTCGAAACATCATTATTAAAAAAAATGATTATTAGAAAGGAGGAATCAACATTAGGATCAAATCAACATTTTATTAACTAGAACTACACCAATAAAAATTATTGTAAACCTTACTACCCTACAAATACTGAAAAATGACAAAATAGTGAAATATATTAATAAAAATATTAAAACAAATAACTTTTTTTTTAAACAAATAACCTATCCAGGGACACACTGTATATAAAAGTGTGACGTTTGAATTTTCGATAGTTAATGTTGCCAACTTAATTTCGAAGTCATAGGCTACACTGATCAGAAGTTTAATACAAAACATGGTGCAATGGAATATAGATTTTTCAATATTGAAAACTTAATTTCAAACAAGTATCAGAAATTTAATAGCGATTTCAGACTTATTTTAATTTTAAGCTGGAAATCAACCTGAATCAAAGTATTTCAACAAAATTAATGTTTATATAACAGTTTTCTTCCAAAACATCATTATTAAAAAAATGATTATTAGAAAGGGGGAATCAACATTAGGATCAAATCAACATTTTATTAACTATAACTACACCAACAAATATTATGGTAAACCTTAATACCCTACAAATACTGGAAAATGACACGATAGTGAAATAAATTAACAATAAAAACATTAAAACAAATAACTTTGCGCCCCGGTGAAGAATCTAAAAATCCTAATCTTGATTTCATCGTTCAGAACAAGTCTAAAATTGACGTCCGAAAACTTGAGAATAGTGTTAGCAAGCACATAGGTGTAKCCCTGGTTGTCGAAAGCGAAACTATCTGGCCAAATCACGGTACTCCTATTTTGGTACAAAATTTCGGGTGGGGACCCCCCGAAAACATTCCATCTCCCAACCCCATAAAGTGGCAACAAACCGTAGTACAAATTCCCAACATTATCCATCATCATGCCGTCGCCTTGGGCCTGTTTATCCCCCAAGTAGGTCACATAAGCCCTCCAATCGCCACTCATGAGCAAATCCTCCCGTTTTAAAACATCGGTAGTTATTCCATAGACACTAAATCCGGTCAGGGAGCAGTAAAGGAGGACTCGGGGGTTGCTCCCCCGAGGAGTCAGCGCGATACCATCGATGGGGGCCAACCCCCGAAAGGGCCAATCATCCACCACGAAATTCGCAGCTTCTAGTTGGGGAAACATGGAGGCATCCCGGAATTTCCAAGCCCGGTTTTCCCGGACTGAAAACACGATTAATCCGGGATCGATTACACTATTATCCGTGATGTAGGCGTAGCCCGTGTCATCCACGACGATATCGTTGAGGAAGCCGCCCCTCCGGAGGCCGATTGTTTCCGGGAATGTGAAACTCCGGATCCGGCGATGTGTGTTTAAGTCGTACCACACCAGTTTGGTGGGGCAAGCGGTCGCCGGAGTCACCCGGAAGCCGTCCAACACCCACATGACTCCACTCCGGTCGATTTCCATGCTTTGGATCGCTTTGATGCCCTCGCAGGTGGGGTCGGTGTTGGTTTCCCAGTCCGGGTAGGGGGTCAAAAGTGGGTTTATTGGTGAGTCATCGGCGAAGATGTAGGCTAGAGTGACCGGAACTCCGGGCCGGAATTTGGGCAAGGCGAAGTACCACCGGTTCCGGTAGAACTTGATTCCGGCCATGGCGACGTTCTCCGGGATGTAATCGCCGGAGTCGATGGCCTCTTTGTAAGTGATGGAACTTTCCCAAGTGAAATTTATGTAAGACCATTGGTGGGTGATCTCGAAGGTCGGGGCAATGACACTTTCTTCCAAGGTGGTGCAATGCGAACTTGAAAATGCTAGTATGAAGAAAAAAAGCATTTTTACACTAGACACTGAACACTCACACAACATAATCGACTGATTTGAAAGAGAGGTCTTAATAAATTGCCAACTTATTACGTTATAATAATTTAAATTTTCCGTCTGAAAGTCTCTGAACTTTGGCGAATTACACCACCGGTGTTGAGAAACGAAAGTTTATTTATTTTGTTTTAAATATCTGTTGCCGGTTTAATCATGACTCATTTAATTAATTATTAATGCATCGGAATTAAAAATCGACTAATGAATGAGATGCAAAAAAGGAATGGTTTAGTAGCAACGTTTTAAAAAACTGAAGACGTTTCAGTCCAGTTCGCTTTATAAAACGTTCAAACCGATAAAATTACGAAAAAAATGTTCATTAGCTATAAAAATACGTGAAGGTTGATTCCACAATGTGATATATGGTATAATTTTTCAGTATCACTTAGCAGGAAAAAGTTGCTCAACTTTTAAAATTGTGAATGGAAACCAATAATAACTATTTTGATTGACTGGTCCAATCAGTATTATTATGTGCATTATAAATAATAAATACACAATAATAATATTTCACTTTTACTTAAATACATTTATTTATGTTTTATTTAAACAGAGAGGTGATTTACTCTTTTAAGAATAAATTGTTTTGGAGAAACGTAAAGAGAATTCGTAATGTACCTAATCGAGTAATTTATTGGGTTTACGCAAACGGTGTTTTCCACAATTATTTATTCAAGTGAATGAAAGTTCTTACGATTCCAAAAAATTATTGAGTTAATTATTGACGATTTCATATCCTAAAATATAAAAAAAAGTATATTAAAACAGAAGTTTAAGCAATTAGTACGAATAATGAAATTACTTCCAACGGCATTGTCACCAACATTGGAAACATAAAATCCACTACGCACCCAGACCAGCTCGTTAATAGCGTTAATAAGACACAAAATAAAAGAACATTTTTGGTGTTCCCACCAAATATTTATAAAGTTGTTCGAAGTATTTTTTTCCAAAAAATCGCTGCTTTGCTAAGAATCACAATATTCAAAATTTCAACCAAACATTAAAAACCAGTCTTAATTAAAGAAAAAGACAATTCCTTTAGTTTTTGCCAGTTTTTGGCGCAAATTGAAACGTTGGAATTTCCAATAATCACTCATTGACGTAAATGGAAGTTATATGCACTTTAAAAGCGCTATGAACTAGATAGCAACTTAAATGGCAAGAGAGGAAAGGATACATTAAACACCTTTTTGTACCTACATTATTTTAAATAAATATTTGACAATATAAAACACTACTTGTAAATTAAAACCACAAATCTCCTCCATCATCCTCCTCCTGCACCGGCGTCTCCCCCACATTCCCCCCTTCATCCTCACTCTCGCTCACAGCGAGATCATCATGAATCTTCATTGAGCTATCCTGCGGCTGCAACACCGTCTCATCAATTTTGATTTCCTCCTTGTTATGCATCGGTAATCCCGACATGAGAAAATCAGAAGGATCATAATTCGGATCCACATCCATGCTCTCCTCCTTGTACACCAAATCAGTACCTTCACCTTCATTTTGCTGGTAGTAACCCATCGACCCTAGCTGTACCATGGCTTCAGCCGCCTGCTGACTGTCATCGTCAGCATTCACACCCTCCATGGGCATTTCGGCCGAAATCACCAAACCACCTTTGTTATCCTCGAACTCGTTCAAGGGCACCTCGTCGAGTTCTTCTTCACTAGAAAATTGCAAATCTTCTTCGAGAATTGCAGCCTCGTCTTTCTTATTTTTGCGCTTTCGCGGCCTTGACACTGAAGCTGTAACGTCTTCGCTTGTTTGGATTCCGCCTTCTACGTCCACGTAATCGTAATCGTCAAGGTTTGATTTCATGAATGAGCTATGGTCCGGGGAGCTCGCCTGGCTCTACAAAACAACAATTAATTAATCAATTGTAAATTAATTACAAATTTATTACAATTCTGTCAGGTTCCGCTATTGTGTAGTTTTCTTCTTCCCCTCCCATCCACGCCTGGTCGTCGTCTTGCATCGCTCGTTCTTGGGCCAAAGAAATTTTGTTCTCTAACTGTGTCAAATGTTCGTCGTACTAAAAAAAAAGAAATAAATAATAGAAATTATAAATAAGGGAGAGAAAAAGGAAGGATAATATTTTCTAGACGAAATTTCAGTTTCTTTAACTTGAGCAATTGCGATCAAAGTGACTTGTGACTTTGAAATTAAGGTGGCAACACTGAATTATTGGCGATTAAAATGTGTCAGGTGACAGCTATTCCAGCGGCTCTCCCTAAGAAATAAATGACAATTGACTTTACAGTGTGTCCCCGGATAGGTAAAAACTCTTGTAAAAGATAAAAGAAAAGCGATTTAAATTTTCATTTTTTGGGCTTCAGCCCTGCTTGGTTAAATTAGACTAATTTCTAATGCCTTAGTAAAAACCTATTTCTTGTAGTGAAGTGCTTTTTATGTGGCAAATACGATAAAAGTTATTAAAAAAATTTATTTCGAATCTCGAACATCTAGACTCGTATACCAAATTTTAAATTTAATCGGCCAACAATGATTTTTCATTTTTTATTCAAGATAGTTGCTTTTTAGAAACAGATATGTTAAAAAGTATTTTAAAAAGTTGTTTAGAATTAACATCTAATCCCGTATGCTAAATTTTAATATCATCGGCCAACTTGAATTTTTACAAAAAAAAATAATAATAACAATCATAGTTCGCCGATTATTTTGAAATTTGGTATGAATCTAGATGTTGATTCTCAACAACTTTTCTTAATAATTTTTTGTTGTATTTGCCACATAAAAGGCACTTTACGCTAAAATAAGTTGCATAGTTGATTTGTCAAAACTAAAATTATGTTAGAAATTAGTCTTTAAGCAAGCAGGACTGAATCCCAAAATATTTTAAAATTAAATCAAACATTTTTTATCTTTTACAAGAGTCATTTCACCTATCCGGGGACACACTGTATATAAAAGTGTGACGTTTGAATTTTCGATAGTTGATGTTGCTAACTTAATTTCAAACAAGTATCAGAAATTTAATAGCCATTTCAGACTTATTTAATTTTAAGCCGGAAATCAACCTGAATCAAAGTATTTCAACAAAATTAATTCTTATATAACAGTTTTCTTCCAAAATTAAGAAATTTGAGTTATTTCCAATTCAATTTTGCTCGATTTTATTACAGAAATCATTCTAAATCAATGTATTTTATAAAAATAATTGCTTCAATCGATTTGGGTTAACTTTAAGCCAAAAATCAACTTAATTCAAAGCATTTCAACATAATAAATGCTTTCCGCTAAAGTTAAACAAATTGATCTATTTTCAATCCAATTTTGCTCAATATTAACACAGAAATCTTTCTAAATCAAAATATTTTATGAAAATAATTGCTTACAATCCAATTTTAGGCCAAAATGAAGCGATTTGTGCTATTTCCAATCGATTTGGCTTAATTGGCCGGAAATCAACCTGAATCAAAATATTTCAACAAAATAATTGCTTAAATAACAGTTTTTTTTAGGAAACAAACAAATTAAGCTACTTCCAATCCAATTTACTGAATTTACACACTGGAATCATTCTAAATTAATGTATTTTATAAAAATAATTGCTTAAAATACAATTTAAGACCAAAATGAGGAATTTGTGTTTTTTTTTTTCAATCGATTTGGCTCAATTTTGAACCTGAAAACAACCTGAATCAACGTATTTTAACAAAATAAATGCATAGATAACAGGTTTCTTCTAAAAAAAAAAAAAGAAATTTGAGCTATTTCCAATACAATTTTGCTCGATTTTATTACAGAAATCATTCTAAATCAATGTACTTTATAAAAATAATTGCATAACATCCAATTTTAGGCTGAAATAAAGCAATTTGTGCTATTTTCAATCCATTTGACTTAACTGTATGCCAAAAATCAGCTTGAATCAAAGCATTTCAACATAATACATGCTTAAATAACAGTTTTCTGATAAAATTAAACAATTTGGCTTACCTCGTCCAAAGTCGCTTTACAAATCTTAACCAACTGTTCCGCCTTTTCGGTAAACGGGGAATCCCGCCCATTGTACAAGATACAATTTTCCAAAATCTGTTCAATATCGACTAAAAATTCATGCCTACTGTGATACTTATGTGCTAGAAAAAAAACAAATAAAAACGAGTTTCATTTTTAAAAAAAAAACGTAACCAACCGGCGACTTTTTTCGAAATCGTTTCCAAATCCATCGGTCGTTTGATGATACTATAATAATCCTTGACCAGTTTTTTATTAACCGGTTTGAGAAACGGCCACGATTCCGACATGGCTTTCAATTTCGTATTAATCACATTGTCTAAGATAAACGTCAAGGCGACTTGATCGTTATCGTCAAGCAACGGATTAATCGCCTTCTCCAGTCTCATCAACCTTTCCTCCTTCTCACCCAGTCTTTCGACGCATTTATTCAACATTCGTTGCGCTGCAACTGTTAGACTACTTTTCGCGCCGTTGTAAAGAGTGGAATTTTCGACGATTTGGTTGACATCAGCCAAAAACTCCTCCCGACTTTGGTACTTTTTCTGACGCAAATTCTCTCGTATCGTTTGCAAATCCATCGGTCTTTGGATAATCCGGTAATAATCCATGACTTTCTTCGGATTAACCGGAAACAGGAAGGGTTGAACGTCCGGCATGTCCCTCATTTCGTTCAAAATATTCTCCAAAATGGTCGAAAGGACGACCACAGGATCAGTCCTTCGCCGATTTGCGGTTCGATTGTGTCGTTTCAAGTAGTCACAATGCAAGTCGGACATTCCTCGTCGTCGCCGTTTCGCATTCATGGCCTCCTTGGGGACTTTCAGGAGCAAAGTCTTCCTCTTCATTTCTTCAGCGTGCTTCAGCAACTTGCTCGACAACTTCACTTTAGTTCCGTCAATGTTGACCAAATCTTCATCATCGGTGTTTAGTTGTTTTTCGATTTCTTCTTCTTGTTCTTCGGTCATTGCGACATTCATGGGGGCGTTGGAGCCGCTGTTTTGGTACAAAGGACACGCTTTGTTGGTCCTCATGTGACCCACGTTGCCACAAGCACCGCATTTTAGCTTCAAATCGGGTTTGAGTTTTGTTTTTCGGCGCGATTTCGGCGGCGAAATCACCGCTGATTTGTTAGGGGAAACATTGAAGGATTGACTCGAAGGGCCTGAAACTGAAAAGTCAGTTTTTTTGTTATTAAACTGTCAAACTTACTGTCACTTGAGCCCAACTTCTCAATTCCTCCTGCCGAATTCGATGACGCGGCAAGCCCCAAAGCCAACCTCTCTTTTTCTTGATTCCTCTTAATTCGTCTTAACTGCTCCTGAATCCGTCTCTTCTCCCTCTTCATCTCCTCCTTCTGTGCTTCATCCAACGTCGCAAATTGTCTTATAAACGCATCATCTTTCGTRGAKCGAATTTTAACATAAGCYTCAATCACTGCAGGTTTTCTCACAGTCTCGACTCGAGTAAATTCCTTCCCTTCCGCATCCCTAAACGTCCTCACAATCTTCAAAATCCGGCCCTGTTGGGCGTAATTCGTCTGTTCCTGATTCTCCTCGTCGTCTTTCTTCTTATCTTTGCCCTTTTTCTCGTCCCCTTCCATTATCATTTTGCGCAACTCTTGTCGTTCTTGTTCCTCCCGTTCYAGYGACAATTGCGTGCTTGTTTTCTTGTTCGCTAACATGTTTTCGATGTTTTTGCCCATTTCTTCGATGTCTTCGTCACTGCCTTCGTCCGAACTTTCACCCTCGTCGGTACTTAGCACTTCAGCGCTTGATAAAACGCGATTTTGCAAATCGAAAATCCTTTGACACTCCTCTTTGTAACGTTCTTGATGTTCAGCGATTGAGAATCGATTACCACGTGAGAATTTATCCATTCCTTCTTCGCCAGCTTTGGCTTTTTCCGTCGATAGTGTGCGAACGACGTCGATGACCTCCCATCGAGACAATTTTTTTATTTCCTCTTCCGGGACCCCGAATTTTCGCAACAATGCTTTGGCGTTGTTTAGGGATAGGCGACGCAAATCGGCGTCGGTTCCAGTGACAGTGCGTTTGGGTTGAGACTCTTGTTCTTCTTTATTTTGCTAAAAAAAAATCATGATAGGAAACAAATTAAAAAAATATTGGTTTAATTACAGTAGGTTTGTTCGGGACTCTGACGTAACTGAATCCTTCCCCACATCCTGTAGGATCAGCAGGACCTGTCAATTGCAATAAACATTTCCCTTTCATTGCTTGAATGTATGCCCGAGTTGTGTTCCAGGGAGCCACTTTGACTTCATCGTCCATTTTCAGTTGCATTTCTTCGTCGTCATCTTCGGCCGGTGTAAAAATAAACTTCTCGCCATATCCGGCGTCCTAAAAATCAAAATTTGTCTAAATCTCAATGAAAACATCAGACTTTCTTAGTCGGTTAAGTATTTTCATAAAAAAATTAAAAATCTTGTTTCAAATAAACTCATTTACATTTTTTTCGGAAATCTTTAAATGAACATAAAACAAAATGATATTTTTTACAGGAATATCTGCAAAGTAGAATATTTACAGTTTTATAACAGTGATAATGAGTTTACTCTACTTCAATAAAAAATAATGCTTTTCAACATTGCAAATAAAAAAAAATGTTATCCACTGAAAAGAGTGAAATGTTTATTTTCAATTATTTACCCGTATTAAATAAATTTAGCTTAGAAATAAGATTTAATAAAAAGTTTAAAATCCAAATTAATAGAACCTCTTTATCAGTATAAATAAAGTTTATTAAAAGTAAAGTAAAACTAAAATTTTTATAACAAATAATTTGAAACAAGTAGTATCTCGCAGTACTTCTCATAGGGTTTAAATGTTTTAAAAACTAGGCGACATGACTTTTCTAACAAGCATAATTTTTAGTGCCAGTTTTAAAACACGCCATTTGACTTATAATGGTAAAAATAAAAACCTCCAACACGTCACATTTTTAATTAATATTTTTTTTGATAAATGTTAACCTAGGGCATTATTATAGGAAATAAATTAAAATTTCATCATTTACTACTGATTTGTAATCGCAAATCAATTTATTTTCCGTTTAAGCATGTAAGAGACTTCGGCAGGTTTCTGCAAAAGGAAGACTTTACTCATAAAAAACAAAAACGAAAATCTTAAAAATATTTTTTTGTTAAATTTGTGTTCAATTTATTACCTAGTGTTCCATTTTATGTAGTTTAAAAATTAGAAATGGCTTAATACATTTTTTTAATTCAGTCTACATCGTGAAGATGAGTGATTACTTCGACCACTGTCTAAATATGAAAACAAAAATAACAAAAAACCTTACGTGATGGAGAATTATGGTAATTATTTTTAGATTTTCTGAACAAAATTACATAGGATACAGGTATTTTTATCAACGTTAGAAAAAAAAAGTGCTATTAGAGATGTACAGTTTAAAAATCAACGAAGTGATTTCGTTAGACAGTATAATATTTTATTTTCATTTATTTTAACACCTTTTTTAAATGTGCCAAATATAATGTAATTTGTAAAAATTTTTTAGCCAACACAAAAATTTGACTTGGTGATTTCGGTAAAAGTTATACACATTATAAACATTTATTTTAAATTTGAAAAGAAATGTTGAAAATTCGAAAAAAAAATCAATCACAAACCTTGAGCCTTTGTTCCGCTGCCACCATGCTGAAATAAGCACAACATTGCTCCGGCGAGACCATCGCCCGGATTTCCTCCTCCGTCGGTAACCGAAATTCCGGTTTGATCACCCACCAATTCGAGTCCATTCCCGTTCTCTTAAAATCAGCACACAATTTCAGTCTCTTTCTTATACTACTCTCGGAATGAGAAGGAAAAGCTTTCTTAATATCTTCCATTTTAATCCTGCGGGGATTATCCCGACTCTTCCAGAACAAGCGATAGATAAAAACTTGCAGGAAATCGCGGACAAAATTATTCGCTCGCTTTGAGTTCGGCCCTGGAACTTCATACAAAGGACACTGCTGTCCTGCCACGTAGAGGGCGTCAATTTCGCGGATGTAATATTGTTGTCGCGTTCTGATCACCAGGAAGTCGGTGCCTGGCTTATCATGCTCGTAAATGGGGGCCCTAAAAATTAAATTTTCAGCCACAAACTGATTTTTGTCAAAACAAGTCAAACAATTAGCACGTTTTTCAGCCATAAACTCACTTAAATTGACATATTTTGTTAAAATTATTCAGAGAATCGACGTTTTAGGTCTGAATTACGCTACGTAAACCAATTCCAAGCAATTTTTGCACATTTTTGAGCAAAAAACTCAACCAAATTGACAGATTTTGATAAATCTAACTTTTAATCACGTTTTTGATTTAGAGTGTAACACACCTGTACATGTTATTTTCAATGGCTTGAATCGACTGTCCCGGATGCAAAATCCCCAAAAACGGCGAAGTGTGGGCGTAGGCCGTCTCCCCGTACTTGTAGCTCGGGGGCCCCGAGTCTTTCGCCGCCTTCCTTTTGTAATAATTCTTGATTTTGGAGCACATCCCCACTTGATTCATCAAAGGCGGATGCTCCTCGCAAAACTCAATCAAAATAATATCGCCGTCTCGTCCAGTCAAATCTTCCGGAGTTCTCATAAAGAACACATCGCCGCCCCCGGAGGCCATTCTCTCCGCCTCTCGTTGCTAAAACCGCCCCCTCATTACTTCCAAACCAACAAAATACAACCCATCTTACTTTCGCCTTCTTTTTGATATGTTTCACCAACGGCATCACTGAATGCGGCCCTGGATGGGCCAAAGGCCCGTGCGAGAACCGCTTCATGGGCGGCCGATGGAAGTTGCGGAGACGCATCAAACCCATATGGGTCTGTATAAAGGGGGCGCGCAGCTCGACCACAGGGGTGGAGTGCTGGATTAGGTTGCCACCCCCGACTTTGAGACGCATGGTGGTTTCAGATGACCGGGGCATGTAGTAGCTATTAATTGAGTTAATTTAATTAGAGTTAATTTAATTAAGGGTACGTACACGTCATTTGAGATGTTGAACGGATCCCGGTTTGGTGATTTAGGGGGCGGGGGAGGAGTGTCCTCCTGGAGGACGTTGATAACACCGGCTTTGCCGAGGAGAATTTTCGATTTCTTCACGTGGGGGTGGGGGATTTTGACTTTTACGGGGGTTGCTTGACCTTAAAAAGTAATTAAGTTAAAACATATTAAGTTGTGTGGTATATTTTCGATAGCTACTGTGATTCCTATCTTTCACAGCGAAAAAAATTAGTGAAAAAAACAAATAAAGTCACTTTACAATACCGGGTGTGTCAGAACTCCCAGAGAAACATTTTAAGTAAGATAAGATACCAGGAACATGAAAAAATGTTTAAAGAATTCTCTGTCAAAAAATTTTGATATTTATTTTATACGAGTATTATTTAATACTAAATATTATTTAATTTAATTTATATTTAATATAAATAAATAATAAATAAACCAATTTTTTGACATTTGACTTTTTTTTGTCTATTTAATGATAATGATGATCTTGTAGATGTTTTTTTTATAATCATTTAGTAAAAGTAAAAACAATGTCAATAAAAACCACAAATAACATTAAACAGAGTTACAATTTAGGATACAGCTTTCCTGTTTCTTCTTCTAATAACCTGTAGCAAAAAAACTTGGAAAATTAATTTTCCTACAGAAATAAGTAAGTCAGTGTGCAAGATTTAAACTCTCATAACTTCGAAAGTTTTATAGATAGAATTTTTTACCAACATTTTTTCCTCACAGGACATTTTTCTCTAGGGCGCGAGTTCTGGCGCATCCTGTGTATTTGAAAAATGTTGGGTGTATACATAATTTTTTTTTCTTTACCTGCAATTTGCTTCGACGGGTCTATATCGTCTGGAATTCCCAAAATGATGTTTTCGTCGTTGGGGTCAAGTGTCAGAATCGACGGTTTCGGAATATTCTTCATGTTGTCAGCGTCCCAAATAACATCATCCTCCCACCTCCCATACACCAGATCCTCATTTTCGACCGGAAAAATCGAGTACCACGTGTCATCCTGTTCCGGATCCGGGCGTGGCTTGTTTGCCAATCTAAAATAGCGGTTTTTGCCAAATTTTATTAAAAAAATAGCTCTCACATTTGCGTTTTGGCCTTCATTCCGGGTAAAGGCGGCGCCGGAATCGGTAACCGGACCGAACTGCCGGAAAGCAAGCCGCCTTTTCCGGGCTGGCTGAACGCCTGAGCTGTCCGATTCCCACTACTGGGCACCCAACCCGCCGCATTTGTTTTCGAATTCAACTTCTGCAAAACCTGAGAGAAAGATCTATCTTTTTTTAATTACTGAAAGAAATACTTTATGTTTGATGTCGTTCCCGTCCCATACGACGTCGTCCTCCCAGTGCAGTTGGGTGACCATGAGGAAAGCGTCGTCGGGGAATTCGTCCCCCTCACGCGGCTCGGTGGCTTCAGGAACGGGGGGCTCTGGGGGCTAAAATTCATTTTCGTCATTAATTAACATCTCAATAGATACAAACCTGGTCTTCTGCCACTTTAAAGCCGTAATTAAACCCCTCCCCCGTTTCAGGTACTTCCAACATGTCGTACCAAATCTGGGCGGGGCCAAAACGCCAATCGGCCACTTTGGGCCCCGTGTCATCCTTCGACTGGGTCTCAGTTTTGCTATCAACGGTCGTATTTTCAATAGGTTTTAAAAATTTCTCCTAGAATGAAAAAAATAATACGACGAAACGAATCTCTCGTAAATTACTTCATCATCGCTTTGAATTTGCTCAGGGGGCGGGGGCTCGGCATAATCAATGAACCACCCCCTGTGTTTCGGTTTCTCATCCTCGGAATTTGAATCGGAATCGTGCTGATTGGCACTATCTTTGTGCTTCCTTCTCTTGCGTTTTTTCCGCACGTTTTTCCAAATATTCGGTAAACTGCTTGGTTTGCCGGGGCCAAAAAGGCGTGAAAATCGCAAAACCTACAATTTTTGGTTAAAACGTGCAAAATGGAGTCACAATTAAATACTTTTCCGTGTCTGAAATCAGGGAAAAGATCAGTAACGTCAATGTTTGCGTATTTTGACGGTAGCATTGCTGCTAGAGGTGTTTCCAGCTTCTTTTTATCGCCATCATCAGACACTATTGTTGCAATTTCAGAAATTTCCTTAGTTGTAGGTACCGGTGGCGGCGGCATTAATTTATTATCGATTTCACTGGGGTGCTCATCATCAGCATCATAATTTTCAGGTTTCGTCTGAAAATTAATAATGCAAAAACTGAAAAACTACAAAATCAGCATTACTTCTTCCTCCTCCTCCTCTGCGAGTTCATTGATGTCGGAAAAATCAACAGCAGAGGGTGATTTTGACTCAACTAGAAAAGTGAGGTTAAGTTTGTTTACTCAACAAAAATATCTTACAATTAGAATCTTCATTATTTTGCGATTCCGTACTATTACTCTCTCTATTTTCATCTCCAAATTTCGATTTTTGCCCTTCAGAATTATCATAATCGCTGTCAGAATCGTCTTTAGGGATGCTATCAACCCCTATCATTTCTTTAAGTGTTGAGCCCAAACCAAGTCTGGAATTACATTTTTAATGTGCAAGGTGTTCCCAGTGTTACAATGAGACTTACTTCCCGAGGTTGGAAAGTTGTTTTTGCGATTCAGTATCCAAAACATCGCTTTCGAGTTCCCCTTGTTCGTTTATGTTACCAAAGAGAAAACCGGTGAGGTCCACACAGTCCTCATCTCTGTTAAAGTTTTCGTCGTCGCTGTCACTCATTTTCTAATTATTTTATGTAACTGAAACGTGAATTAAATTTAAAAAAGTGTTGGGACTAATCTTGGACCACCATGTAAATAACCACAAATTGAAAAAATAGATAGCAAAGCTAGTGTGGCTTCAAACCACAAAAAGCGCCACGTATAAAATTCGTTTTTCTACTAATGCGTCTTGTTGTTTTGTAGCAACGTATGCATCAGAGCATTCAAATTTATGCAGATACCTAAATAAACGCAATAAAATAAAACAAAAAGCGGGTTTTATGTTATAAAATAATGAATTAAAAAAACAAAATTTTAATAATCTGCATTGTATAATAGTTTTTAGTTTTTAATTTATTTTATAATAAAGTAAATATTGAAAAAAAAACTACTGATCAAGTGAAATGATCATATGAACGCACACTTTTATGAAAATCTACAGGGATAGGGAGTTGTGGTATTCTTTAAGTTTTCTGCTAATTTGGTTAATTTTCTGTGTTGTGATTTTTCGTGTGTTTTAACGTTTTTTAAATTTGTTCAAGAGTCGAATAATAAAACTATGAAAAACAAAGATTAAAAATAAATAAATATCAAGGTTAGAAGAGAGTTGTGGTTAAAGTTACAGTCAATCAAAAATGTCAATGCAATTTCTGACCATTTTTAATTTAAGAAATAGCCCAATTTGTCCACAAAAGTGTTCACTGTTAAGACAAGACATATTCACTGTTAAGACAAGACACAATTATCAGATTACATTAGATAAAACCGTAATTTCAAAATTTGTAAGGTTAAATTTATAAATTGTTACCATAACCACAAGTCTGTGGCAACAATGTTCAAAATTTAAATTTTTAATCCCCATTTTTTTTTTCAGGGAATCTAAAGTTTGGTTCACCTAGACTTGAAACTGTTTTCATTCATTGTCAGATTAAGTTTTTCTGCACTGATAATGTCTAAAAGAAAATCAAACACCTCCATCGAAAATACTACAACAGGAACTAAAAAGAATAAACCAAATGGTCACTGGAGTATGGGCCTCCTTGCAGCCATCGACGACCCAGAACTCTTTTTAGAATCTGATGATTTAATATCCATCATTAGAGACAAATACCCAAAAGCCAAATACCACTATTTGATACTTCCGAAAGAAAATATCACCAGTTTAAAATCAATCACTCCCACACATTTATCTTTACTAGAACACATGGAAAGAGTTGCGGAGGAGTTGATAAGTCGTGATGAACACAAAGTGAGCACTTTTAAAATAGGCTATCATGCGGAACCCAGCATGAGCCGACTCCATTTACACGTTATCAGCGATGATATGAACTCGAATTGTGTCAAAACTAAGAAGCATTGGAACAGCTTTACCACAGATTTTTTCCTGAAATCGGAAGGTACTTTTACATTTTTTTGGCGAATGATGGCACCTCTGTTTCAGATGTCATAAAAAACTTGGAAAAGAACGGCAAAGTAATTTTACCCTCACGAGAAGAGTGCAAAAAATTCCTGGAAACTCCTTTAAAATGCCASAAGTGTGACACCAAACCGAAAAACATGCCCGAACTTAAAAAACATATTGTAACCCATTTGAAATAAATGATTTTTTAATAGATAATTTATTTATACAAAGCTGAAAGTCTCTGTAAATAAGCAACACATGAGAGAGCTACCAACGGTAGAAAACAAAGTATGTAACTCATACGTGTACAGTCATGAATTTTTAAATTGATCGACTTTAGAATTGTAACAAGCCATTTTAAATATCTCGCACAACTTAACTACAGAGAATAATAAAAATATTTGCACATTTAATAATCTCAGATTATAAAATCACATTTGGTTATATCCTAATTATCTTATAAAATAAAAGTAACATACATGTCCTGAAAGTAAAGTAACTATAAAAACTGAAATAATTTATTACACCTACATGTTGGTTACTTTTCTTTTACTCAACTTTGGAAGAGATTCTTGAAGTACGAAACTGTCTTTCCCGCAATCGCATCTTCGTTGCTTTTTTCGAAACAATGAAACACAAAAATACTACTCAACTAACATAATACATGAGTGCGATAACCGAAAAACAAACAATGATATGGTCGTATTTACACACTAAAGAAAACAAGTACGTAGGTAATGCCACTCTTTCCGCCCCCAGCACCCGACTTTTGTGCTTACAACTAATAAAACAAACGATATCACAGCAAAATAATTTCGGCAGTTGTTTTAAAAAATTTGGCATGCGATTGGATCTTGAGCTTTTGTATTGCACCGACTGCCGTTTTATTGTGCAAACATTACCTAAGTACTCTAACAAAATGATTCGTTCGAATGTCGTCGAAATTAATGAAGGATGTGATCCTTCCAAGCGATTCGCAAACTCGCCCTTGCTGGACTCAATTCGCAAGGACTGGGGGTCGGGGGACTGAAACCCTCATCGGCCGAGAGGGTRAAGTCTTCTTCTTCTTCCGAACTTATGAGTTGTTCGAGGGCAGCTGTACCATGAAAGCTCTAAAAGCAAAACTCAATTTGTAAAATTAAAACAAAACAAATCTACAAAAATAGAAAAAATCGTGTATGCAATTAAGGTAAAAGTTCCCCCAAGCCAATATTAGTGCACTAGTTGTGAAAAATATTTACATTACGTTAGCGTGTTAGTAGTTATGATAGATTGTGCTGTAAAACTAACTTACGAACAACAAATTAAATAATGACGTTCTACTTGGTAGTTCTCTAGTCAGTCTAGTTGCCTTCCACCATGTTATTTAGGATAGAAACCTAGCATAGAGAAATCGAACGTGCATTGTATTCAATTGTTTTTTTTTTTCTCTAAATTTTAATACTCAAGAACAGGAATTTTTTTGTTATTGTTTTGTACCTGAGAGCGATGCACCGAACTGGAATGGGACGGGGAACTATCACAGTCTTGATTCTGATTGGCCTCCGTGAATGACTGTGTCATGCTGTTTTGTCTTTTGGCCAATTCTTTTCGTTTGCCTTCGGCGGCTGCTTTCATCGGATCGTAGCTTTTCCGTCGTTTCCAATTTTGGAATTCTTTTTCTCTGCTTGATAACGATGAGTTGCTCCGACCGCTAGATTTCTTGCCTGACAAGAAAAAAAAAAACAGTTAATTAAAAAAAATGAAGTAAGACGAAATAATTGGCTTTATGTTATGTGTAGTTATGTAATTAGGTAAGGGACCAAAAAGCGGAACAGCGAATTTAAATTTAGGCAATTAGTTATAGAAAAACAAGACTTGAGACAACAATGGAACGGAAATGTTTTTTTCTAATCTGTTTGGGAAAGAAATCTTCAATTGTAAAATTTAATCAGAAAACAAATACAAGGTCTCAGAACAAAAAATATAATAATAAATAACTATTGCTTTTATTAGATTCCTAAATCTTTAAACATTGAATTAACATCAAATTTTAAAACTGCTTTGTATTGTAGGTACTTAAATTTCAGTCAATCACAAAAATGATCAATCAATCAGATGAGATAAGTTTGAAATTATTATTTCAAATTCATTGTTTTTATAACTTTTTAATTTCTGTTAACTTTCACGAATCAAATATACGTAAAATAAGAACACTAGGCAGCATAAGAAAATTTATTGTTGTTTTTAGTAAAAATATGCTGTTGAATAAAAAGAAAAATCATCTTAAATGATTGACAATTTCTACAAAGAAAAAAAAACGGAAATAAAACAAAGCAAATAGGAAACTTCATTTATCTTCATACAAAAATTGGGGATTAATAAATACTTTTAAGCTTTCAAGTTAAACACTTTTAAGCACCCTAAAGCACCGATTATAGTAATAGTAAAAATGCAGATACCCTTTTGTATTTTTTTTCGCCCTTTTCTTCAAAATATGAATGTTAAAAAATAGCACAAATTTTTGTTGGGCTGTTACATATTCGAAACTCTTTAACATTTGACTAAAGTTTTTTCCACCTTTTGCTCATTACTTTGAGATTTTATTTATATTTTACTAGTATAACCCAAAATGACTTTCTTTAATCATTAAAAATTATAATAAAAAGGAAATAAACACTTAGTAGCTGGATTTTTTTGTGTTTAAAGTTAAATTTTCTTTTTTAACCAGAAGAGACACTAAAATGTTAAGTTTTTAGACAGACAATAAGTCTTTTAGATGCAAAAATAAAAAAAGCGTATTCCATTTAAAATTTTTAAGTTACTGAACTTTCAACAAATTTCTTAGTTTTTTTGACTGCAGTGAGCTAAAAACATATATTCTTAAAGTTTGAACTTTCTTCTTTAAAGTTGTGAAAGTTCTATTTTTCTAGGATTCTTAACCTTTGTGTAATCAATTTTTAAAGAAATTTCTTTGTTTTCGTTAAAAAAATCAAAATATTCTCGAAAATATTTCAAAAACTAGGTAAAATAGACCAATAAAAGTTTAGCTTAAAAATAGGAGTTTTAAAAGCTATATTCAAAAATGCATAAGGTAAAAACGAAAACATTTAACTCTTTAGATTTTTACTTTTATGAAATATTTATGTACAACTTTTACAAATTAAAAATTTTTAAAACGGAAATAATTAATAAAAGATAAGGAACGCTAACAAATTAAGAAATTTTTTGGAATTTAGGATACAATCACGTTTTTTCCATGACAACGTAATTATTTCTTGCAACCTTATTGGACGATTTATAGAGGCATGTCGGGGAAACAAGGATAATTTTCTTTAAAAAAAACACCCTATATGTTAAAGTAATTAAACAGAAACAATAGCACGGATACGATCATTACAACACTAGCTGACTTGATTAAAATCTTTACGCTCAAAATGAGAAATTCCTAGTACAGTAATGTGCAATCTTCACGATTTCATCGAAACCCAACGATCACGGCACGTTTTCCATCTGTTACGAAACTTTCTTATGATTTATAGTTTCACAAATTTTATTAAAATGTATACCAGTTGCAATGCAATTACTAGAAAAAATAGTGTTAGCTTTTTACTCACCATTTGCATCTTTCTTGGCCGGTTTCTGGCCCCCTGTCGTCGGCGGTTTGGCCGCCCTCATGCTGAACCTCCCATTGTCCGTCCTCGAGAACGCTTGCGTCTTCCCTGTGGTACTTTTTGGCACGGTATTCTTCACCGGTTCGGTTTTAACCGGCGGTTTCTTGGTAACATTCAACAGGTATCTACTCTGAACCTCGTTTGTCTTCACTGGTTTTCTATCAACAGAAATCGCCCTCTCCATTCGGAGATGATCCGGTTGGAATTTCCGACGCATCTCTGGAGTATTGGGGCACTTCGGCGGAACGACGGGCTCATCCAACCTCGCCCTCCTCAAACTAAACGCACGATTGTACCTCGTGTTGGTCAAATTCGACAAATCTTTCTTTTTGGATAAATTCTTCTCGAAATCTTCCTCGGAACTCGATTCGGTGTCACCGAATTGATTTCGGTCGATCTTTTGGTGGTCATTGGAGACACTCGAGCGTCTCAATTGGATAAAATTAGGCTTGATATTCGCCGTGGAGGCCGATCTCTGTATCGAAGTATTCCTGCCGAGGCTTGGCGAGTTGCGTATCGCTTCCTGCTGCACCAAATTAGTGTTTTTAGCAGGAATCGGGTTTTTCGTCGAGAAGCTACTAGAGCGTCGAATCGGCGAATTGTTGGGCGAGTTTTGGATCTTGTGTATTGGTTTCGCGTATTGATTAAGCACGTTGAATGTTTGGTCGATACTCTGCAAATTTTTGCTTTGGAAATGCTCGAGTTTGTTCGATATTTTCATGTTCTTGTCATCGAGTGAGTTGTGTCGGATGTGCGTCGCTCTTTGCTTCAGCAAATTGTGAGGTGAATTGTTCAACTGGAGGCCGTAGTCYCTCTCTTGGTCGCTATCCAGTGACAATCTCTGCTGCAACGAATTTATGCAATTTTGAGTCGGTTTCAAGTACGACTCCGTCTCCAAACTGCTGTCGCTCAAATCCAAATTCGCGCTGTTGCGACTTCGCGGRCGCGACAGAGTGTGAATCGGCGAGGGGATTTTCGTCGGCGAAGACGCCACTTTCCCCAACACCAAACTTCCACTCACCACATTGTCCTCAACGCCAACTCCGTTCGTGGAAATACTTTCAACGTTAACGATATTCGCCGTTAATTTTTTCAAGGGGTTGGCAACCCTGACGGTACTTTCGCTAACTTCGACCTTGTTGCCAACGTAAGCCTCGACTCGGACTTCGGATTTCGTTAAACTCAATTTTCGGGGTTTCGGTTTCTCGGGTTTGGTCCGGAAGGCCCCACTTGACGTCACCGAAATCACACTACCCTGATCGACGAGTTGCTCCAGTCCATTGGCGTTGCGGGCCTTGGGGCTCGGAAACATGATTTTCGTAAAAGTTTTGTTCGCCAAGTCAGTGTTTTTCTCATCTTGGGTGATTGAGAGGTTTTGCGTCGGGGACAGGATCGGTGATAGCATTTTTGCGTTGCTTTTCGTAAAGTTTTTGAAATTTGGGGTGCTTTGTGGCGGTTTTGGGGATTTTGGTGATGGGGGGTTGGCAGAGCTGTCATTCAAATTTAACTCTGTCACGGTTTTAGTTATGTCAGATTGGTTTTTCTGTTTGTAAGTATTGAGACTTTTGATGTAATCCTCGGTTTTTTTCAAGACTGAAATTTGTTCGATTTTGAATTCCGTATCGATGCTCATTCGTGCTTTCTGTTCTTCGGAATAATTGTCTGCATCTAGAGTGTAGGTGCCCGCGTCACTSACAGTATCCGACTTGTCAAAATCAAACTCAGTCCCTTCAATAAAATTCTCAGCGTCCTTATTTTCACTTTTGGGACTTGGTAACTGTTTAACGAGGTTAGATTTACCTTGAGTGGGACTGAAAGGACTTATCAAGTCCAATTCGGGACTTGACACATCCTTCAGTTCAATCTCCGGTGATTTTAAACTAAGAAACCCACTATTTGGAAACGACTGGCTCATTTTATCGGCGATACTTTTCAAAGGCAACGTCAATTCACTCCGTTTTGCACTTTTCGCACTTTTACTCCTGTCACTTTTCTCGTCTGAGGAAAAATAGCCTTCGGATTGAAAACTCGACTTGCGGGGCAGATTCCCCGTGTTGGGGTGTTTCCTCGCGAGGCCGAGCGTGGGCTCCTCGATTTTCGACAGCGACTGGCCCCTCCTGTGCTTCTTTTGAAACTTTTCAACAAGGGTTTTGTGGCGTTGGGTGTCTATGGCTTTGCCCTCGCCGAAATCGACGGTGAAAGCGAGCGGTTTCGGGGACTCGGGGACTTTGGGGTCGGGAGTGTGATTTTCGCTATTCTCATCCATGATTCAAGCCGGAAATATTTCGCCAATTTCAACCTAAAAATACAAATAAAGGTCTTGCCAAATTTGGGTTGGGGTAAACGAGGGGGCTCACCTGGGGTTCGGAACGAGTCAAGTTAGACAATTGCACATCACTTGAGCTTTTTGCGTGTTTTTTTAGGGGAAAAAACTGATTATTTGATGTTTTGTTGCATTTTTCACAGCTGTAGGCGCGGACGAACTGACTGACGTTTGACGTTTCGTTTCACCACGTTTACATGCGAGCTTCAAACGGGAGTTAAAGTGACATCACTTTTTGTTGAGAAATTATTTAATGTTAATTAATTTACAACAAGAGAGTGCGTGAGCAAACTTAGCCTTGCAATTTTTAATAAATTTATGCTCGTGTTTACTGCGCAAGCTAACTTTCCGCTAGGTTGAGCTCCTATCTCGCGAAATATAAAAAAGAAAAAACGTCATCCGGGGTGATAAAAATTATCTATAACTTGTCCACTCATATCAACAAACTCAACAAAGTTATCGAGATTTAGAAAAGCCAAGTATAAGTAAACAAAAAAACTTTTACTTGACCTTGGATTTTTAGCAACTTATCTTTACCGTGTAAACATACAAATCACTAATTTAATTGTTTTATTTTTAAAAAATCCCGGGAAAATAGCATATTCCAGCCTTAAAATCACTTAAAATTGATAAACTTTGCGTATTTACTCATCATTTGTGCTAATATTGACTTATGAATTCTAAAAATTTGGCTTACACGAAAAAGATTATACAGCGTGTGCCAGAACTCCCGGAACATTACCGTTAATTTTTGTGTAAATTTAGCAATTCTAGAATTTTTAATTGGTTTGAGGAGCCGTTTAATATAAACACCTAACAGCAGGTGAATGGCCACCAGTACAAATTTCAATGCAAATACCACAATAACGGAACAATGATAAAGAATTTATCGTAAATAGAACGACCAACTGGTTTCCCATATTACCCCATTTGACGTTAACTGAATTGTTAATTAATTGTTACCATTATGTAATAAAATTTACGACAGTTATGTATGTTATAATAAAAATTATTAATATACATCTACAATTTTCGAGACGTTTTTTACAAAATGATTATTAAGTCCAAAATCAATAGCATATCAATAATTTTTATAATTATTAAAAGCAGTCTTAGTTAGAATTAACTTAAATTAAAAAAAAATCTATAAAATTTAATAATTTTGAACCTAGAAACCATTTTGTCCTGAAAACGTACACATGTTGTAGTTCGCTGATTACTTAAGAATACGTGAACTCGTTAGTCAGTGAAATTGCGATTTCTTATTTATTTATGACATAATTAAAGGATATTCTTGTTGTGATGTATGATTAGGAGAAAAATTTCATTTTTAGTTGGGAAATAAGCAACAAAGTGTAGTTAAAACGTATTTATTTTCCATTTATGCATTTAACAAAAGAAAATATAAATATTGAATACTTACACCTCAGGCTTAACGAAACACTCTTCTTCTTTAAACAGCATATTATATGTATTAAATAGAAATACAAAGAGTTTTACAGGCACTTACAGAAACATTTATAATTTCGTATCAGCATACAAGAATTAGTATAACATTTGCAATAAAATGTCCAACAGATCTTTACAAGTAAACAAACATTAACAAAATAAATTAAAAATAAAACGTAGCTTTCTTAAAATTTAAAAAAATATATAACCAAATAGTTAAAACAAAAATATAAAACAATGTGTATGTGATTTAATGTACAGCTTAAGTTGTGCTATAGTTTTGCTTAAGATTAGAGACTAAACTACCCGTTTAAAATGAAATTAACGGTAACCAGAGATTAAAGCATTCGGATGTTCTTATCGGTGTATGGATTCGTGATGTAAGACCTGAAAACAAAAAATCATCACTCACGTGTCACATACTTATTTTTTCTCAAAACGAGCAGCAAAATAAAATTAAAAGCGAATTATCGCAAAAAAGCTGAGGCGTTATATTTTGCACACCCCTTACCAATTATTCGCTCAGAACCGGCAACATGGACCCATAGGAACAATAATTTATTAGTCATAGAATAGACACATTTGAATCAATTTTTCTATTTTGTGCACAATAGGAAAATGACTTGAAATTTTTTACTTACAATTCAATATTGTGAATGGTGGATGTGGGACAGTTGTCGTTGACCTTGACATGGCAGTGCTTGTGACATTTCAACAAACAATCGCGACATTCGTAGCCTTGTTTCCCGATCCTTCGGGCTATGCTCTTCCCACACACCTGACATACAGTGCCACTACAAAAATTCAGACAATAAAAACGATTTTTTCGATAAAAAAATTCAATACCCAGTTAAGTGTCTGGCAATAAACGTATGGTCGTTGAAAATGTGCAGTTTGACTCCTTTTTTCCTCCATTTGGACTTTTGTGCGAGCGATAACGGGACCAAATAGTGTTTTTTGACCCCGTTTTCGAGAGTCTCGAGTACTAAAGTACTCGCCTCGTTTATATAAGTCCTAGTGGAGGCGCTACTAAGCCCCGAGGCCTCGGAAAGACTCGACCGACGCGAGGTCTCATCCATGGATTTCTGACCAGGGACGTTCAGCCGATAGCCTGGAAAATCAAAAGTTAAAAAATCTAGTCTCAGGTGTCAAACACTTACTTTCGTCGTTTCGGCTCCTGTCGGCAGAAACCGATCGATTCATCGAGTCATCTCGGCCATTATCGTTCTCGGGTCCGACCGACTTCGATCGGGATTTCCCCAATCGGCGCTTGATTGTTCCGAAAAAGTCGCGACGTTTCCTCGGACGCCCTCGGTTTTCTATGTCTGAGGACGTTTGCGATTGGAGGGTTCCAGTGGCGGAGAAATCACCGGCCTGTAACGGAAATATTACTCATGTTGTTTTTTAAACAATTTTGATTAATAAAATCATGCAACGGAAAATCAAACCTTGGATGTTTCAGCCTCTGAAGCATCTTTATCTTTACTTTCGTTAGTGCCGTTTAGTTCGTTGCTAACGCTGCCGTTTAGATTTTCACTCTCTTCRTGGTTTTCYTCGGTCTTTTCGACTCGTTCAATCTCTTTCCAAGTGCCGTCAGTCAATGCAACCTTGGGTTAGTCAAAAATTAAACAAAATGCACACTGTTAGATAATAAAAAAATGTTAAGTGTTTAGATAAATTAGAAAGAAATTCCGAATAAAATAATTTCAATGGTATTTACCTTCACGAGCCTTTGAGACGGTTGCTAAAATCACAATAATTAGTTTGAACCAAAACCAAATCTCTTTATTTACCCTTTGTACACTGTGTATCACCAAAGTGTTTTTATTCTGACTTAAATTCTGCCTACTATCTAACTCTCTGTCATTATAATGATTCCCATTGGTCAGATGTTCTAAAACAACCAATTAAATCACAAATCCGAATCAACTTAATCCCAATTACCATTCTGGAACGTCGTATTTGCCATTCTTGCACTATTAGTGGGCGTCAGGGGTTGTTTGATCGTCTCCTTGATTTTGTATGGTTGCCCACCCCCGATATTGGGTATGTCAGCCCCCTCGATGAACAAAAACTCGACGGTGAGCGTCCCCGAAACCGGGTCACTCTCATACGGGGCCCCCTGGAGCGAAATGATCTGTCTTTGGGACGGATTCGCGATGAGTTCGTCCACTCCAACGATGGCCAGACCGAGGAACTTGTTCGGTTTGACCGCATGGTCGTAAATTTCAAACAAAACTTCAGCTGTATTTTGGGACAAATCGCTGAAAAAAAGATTGAAAATTTCGGTTTTTTTAGTCAGGGAGCTTACAATAGGAATTGTTCGTCCCAATACGGCGAGTCTGTGGTTTTTTTGACCGAAGTTTGGTTCTTCTGAGGGGGCTCGTCGATTTCTACTACGCAGTAGGGCTCCGTGCAACCACTGGAAGCCCCCAATTGGGCGGCGCGGACGACCTTGACAAGGAGGCGTTTCTCACCCGGGACTTGGAAGGGCTGGTGGTTCGGCGTCGAGGTGTACGCATTCGACTGTAATTTAGAAAAAAAATTAGTAAAAGTAAGGCTATGTCACACTTTTTAAGAAAAAAGAAAATGTTGCAACTTGAATTCACACTGGTTAATGTAATTGAAGCAATTTTTACTCGAAATCTTACTTATGGGGGCCCAACACTATGTTTCACGTGTAAAAATTCGTATTTATCAAATTTTGAAAATTTCTTTTTAATCCCACTATCGTTGGATTCAATGCTGCCAACTATACCTCGTTAAAATTTACACTAAAAAGCTGTATTACCAAATTGTAGCAGCTTTAAAAGTAGTTTAAAATTTAATGTGGATTGTTGTGCATTTCATAACTAGGTTTTATAAGTATAAATTGTTCCCCCTCGCAAAAAAACAAGTTAGTCAAATTGGAATTTAAGTACACACAGTTGGCAGCAGTGATCTGAAATTGGCAGATGCCATGTCAGTGAAAATTTTCAAATTTCGAATATTTTGTTGACAAACAAGAAAAACTCACGATTTGGGATGCCGGTGAGTCAAAAATTTGAATATTTGCGTTAATTGTGTATAAAACTTTGAAAATTCCAATTTACCATACTGTCATAGTGGACGGGTAGGATGTGTCCGGGGGCTGTGTTGACATGCCTGATGAGTCTGGGGCAAGTGGGGTACTGGGCGAGGTTGAGGTGCACTTCTGTGTTTCTCAAAGCGTTGATAATCATCTCACTGTAATTCAAACCAATTAGAATTTTATTTTATCGGAAATTGGGGATTTAGTACTTGATAACTTCCTGGAGTTGAGTTTCATCCAAGTTGTTTTTGATGTTGCCGACGGGCGCAAGTGCCACTTTAATTTCGGGCCAACCGTCGCACTTAACATCGGCTTGCAATTTTTCAGATATGCAAAAGATGTTTAACCTTGCCCTAAAGCGATTAATATTAACTCTGTAATGTGATGTTTCGACTTTGTCACCTTTTTGGCGGAAGCTTTTTAATTGTAATGCGGGTGTGGCTTCACAGTCACATGTGATTGTCTGCAAAATAATAAAAAATATTTTAGTCATTAAGGCTACAAAATTAGTATTAATTGCTTGGACGTGAATGATATGAAAAGTGCAAGGTAAATATAGCTTATCTATCACGCATTTACGCAAACAACAAAAAAATTAAGTTTTTCTAATGTAAACTTCTACATTTCTCAACATAATGGTCGTAATTAGGAAATAAATTTATTACTGTTGAATACCTTCGACTTTGAATATCTATATTTTTTCCACATACAAAAAATTAATTTTGAACATACTGTGTGGTAAAAAAAAACAATTTATTTGGAAATAAATTATTGCTCTCCCAATTTTTATATGGAAATAACAAATTTTTTGCCCATTGTTTTACAAGTTTAAATTTGCGATAATTGCTTTAATTTATTATTTTAAATTAGTTACAAGGAGAACACAGAATGCGATTTTTGTATTTTATTTATCGTACGGCCAAGGTAAACCACTTGAAGATCTAAAACTTTTAAGTTTGGTTTCATGTTATTTTCGTTTACTTTCTATTTCCAAATTTGTGGTTGAGTTTTGGCTATAAGAAAATTTGATCATAATATAAAAATCTTGATTTTTTTTGAACTAAAGATCTTGCCGAAAATATGTTAAAAACTAAAATCTTGAATTATTAAATCAATTAAGCTCAGTATCTTGAGAAAAGTTGAAAATTTTGAAAAATTATACCAAAACCTTGCAGAACATTTTATCAAGAACTCATAATAATTTGACTGAGAACTTAAAATCTTGAAATAATATGCTATTGATTGTAAAAATTGAAAGGCATGGTATAATCGATAATGCCTACATGCATCAAAAAAAAAAAGTGAGAAATGTTTAAAAATTCAAATTTTGAAAATCTGAACCACAAACTTGATGAAAAATTATGATTTGTCCAGAAATTTAAAAAAGTCGGGAAAAACGTAAAGTTTTAACAAAAAAAATATTTCAAATTTTAATGATGAGAAAAAAATAAGGAATTGAATTTTTACATGAAGTTGAATAAATTGATTGATTTGCAAAAAAGATATTAATGAACTGTATTTTAGCCCAAAACTTGTTTTGTTTCCCAAACGAAACTTTTATTTTAACTGGACACGTGTTTCGACTACAAAATGGTCATCATCGGGTCATGTAATGTATAATTTTTGTATTTAATTGACACTTGGAAGTAAATTTTTTATATGATAAAAAAATAAAACGATTTTAGTCTATGAAATCAATAGACTCTAAATTAGTGTAGCAATCATTAAGATAAAAATAGAAATAACGTCTACAACGTAGTTTTTCCACAATAGAATAGTAAATTTACGGTTCATGACCTGTAAGTGGCCACGACTACAAATTACAGCAAACACGATTACGTTTCTATCCAGCTTGAAATTCAAACAATGAATGAAAAATAAATTTTCCAAAAAAGAGCACTGCATTTTATTTATAGACTTTGTTTACTTAATGTAAATGTTTAAATTAGATTTTGTTTATACACTTTGAAGGAAACCCATTCTACATGCTTTCGTGTTCTCGATGTAACAGGTATTTTTACAGTCAAGTCGAATCATTTCATTCGATCAATAAAACACGAGGGAGAGGTCAGTTGTAACCCCACATGAATTTTCGATGACCCAGACGGCGCCAGAAATGATATCATCGCTGGGGACAAGGGTGGTTACAGTATTTTCTCTAATTCTCTTAAATTATCGCACCGATTAAAATAATTGCCATAATTACGTGCCCCCTGTTATCATTATCACAAATGACATTCGATTTATTTAACAAAAACAAAATATTTGTATTCCTTGTGCTAATTTTTCGAGATATCGTGGCCCGATTTTTGGTTTGATTAACCTTTGCTGCTACTATACAGTCATAATCATAATGTAATAATAATGTATTTTTATGGTCCGTAAATTAAAGAGAAAAAAAATTTAAATCAATTGACCCGAATCGGAAACTGACAACTTTCGTCATCGGTTTTAATCAGCGTTGATGTAAGAGTGCTTTTCAAAATGGTGATGTCACGACACTCTAAAAAGGTGAGATTACTTACCACGTCATCTTTTGAATCGTTCTCGGCAAATATATTTGACAGGAGGGGAGGATTCGTCTCGGGGAGGATACGGACGAATTCCACACCAACTCCTTGCTGAAAAAAAAAAAAAGAAATAAAATAAATTGGTGTGAATGTGTACGAAAAAATTGAGATTTTGAGATTAATTCTTTTTTTTCGATTAATTACTACAGAAAGTAACATTTACTTATTATTTTCGATATCATTTGTAGAAAATCTAACGAACCTTTTACTCTTTAAACGAGGCCAAAAAATTGTTTACTTTTCGAACAATGGGAATCTTCCCATTATTTGGCACTGGATTTTTGGCAAAAGTTCAAACAATTTAGAAATTGCCTTGATAAATCCCGACGCTCTCTATTCCTACTTAAAAAAAACCTAAAATCTATGATTTTGCCACTTACGCTGAAACCATATGAGGAATGCATCATCAAAATATGAATGTTTTCGAAAGGTTAAAATAACGTCATCAAAATGAGGCGAAAGTTACGTTATCGGAATAAATAATTTTAATGAAATTATATTATAACCGAAATGTTAACAGCCATAAAACGAAATATTTTTACTGACATTTACTTTTACATTTAGCGAAATTTTAAGTGCATTTAATGAGGAATGCTAAATGCAGGTGTAAAACATGTGTTTGAGGTCATTTAAAATAAATTTCAGTTGAGTTAAATCAAAATTTATTGTTTCGATTGAGTTTACGGATTGAATGTACAGGAACGGCTATAATGTTTCGATAAAGTAAAAGCAAATCTAACTTGATTTTCCTTGGAAAAACAAAGTAGAAAACGTGATTTACTAGCTGTAATAGCCAGGAAATGTCTAGATATCCTGACAGCGTTCACTCAACATTGTTTCACTTTTTATCAGTGATAAGGATGAGTGAGTTATAGCGAAAAGAATGTCTAACATACCTCTTTTTCAGTGTACACAGTGTATACAGTAATAATTTAATTAGATTATAGCCATCATTCAAGACAAGCACCAATAAAAAGGAATCATTTTATGGGTTTGTATTTGAACAGAGATTTTTATAATCCCATACCACAACAAACATTTTTTCATGATGGGAAAAGACGATCAATGTGTCTATAATAATACAAAGCTGTGCGTTGTATGAATTTTTTAATTATATTCATGTCAGTGGTAATAATTTTTTTCTATTTCGGTGTCACAATGAACATTTTGTGTAACTGAAAACAGTTGCATAGAATGCAATTTTGTGGCACTGTTTTTTGGCGACATTTTATCCGATGCTTTTACCATCAATAACCATAGACTGTTGTTTTTAAGTGAGAAATTGTTGCAGTTCAACGTATTTTACCGAAACTAATGTAATTTAAGCTATTTTTAAGTAATTTGAGTATCGCATACGTCAAATGTCAAAAATTTTAACTGTCAAATATAATAATAAAATAATTATTCTAAATAAAATATTACAAAGTCAATAAATGAGATTCTAACTATACCTACATTTTTCATTACTGTTCAATATTACTTTTTTTATTTATATCAGACTCTTGTTTTTAAAAATTATTTTTGCAAATCGGAAATGTGAAAAACTTGAGATAGAATAAAATAAATTTCGAACTGAATAAGTGATTATAATATCAAGGGTACGGCATGGTAAATGTGGTTTCGTGCCAAACGGGTGTAAAATTAGAATTAGGTAATAAAACGATGACGTAAGCGATGAGGTAATTTTATAATAGCTCATACACAGTTCACCTTTTGTTTAGTTTTAGTTCAGACACAGGTGGGTGGTTTGGTTTGGCTAGGCTATTTTTAGGGAAAATTATGCAACTGGTAGCCAAATTATTCACTAGTTGAATATAGCATTGAAAAAAACCATGACATTGTTTTGTGGTCACCCACTGAATTCTTTGATAAGAAGTATGATAAGAGAAAATTAACCAGAATGGCCCTGAAATGAATATTTTTTTTTCTTAACGGTTTTTATATTTATAAAAAATAAAATACAAAAATTAAAATTGAATTATTTAGTAACGTTTGCTTCTGTAAAAAGAAACAAGGTTCGATTAAAAAGCAGATATTATTTTTAATGAGGTTTGCAGAAACTTCAAACCACGGTAACTTCAAAGAGAGGAAACAAGCAATTTGTCATGTAATAATACTCTTTGTGGAATGAATATTATGCAAATTAATGACAGTGCACGTAAATTGATAAAGACAGTGATTTGAAGTAATTAAACAACAAAGCAAAAAGTTGCTAATAAACATAACAATGAAATTCGTGTGAAAATTTCATGTTCCAAAATCCAAAATCGAAATTTTGAAGTCGAAAGTTAGAATTGAAAAAATATGTTCTCTTAATGTCAATTCTGGCTCTTCTTTCTCTGCACTTTTCTTGAATTCTGATTTTTTTACTCGATAAACTTAACCAAATACCATAAACATGATATAAAACATGATTTTAATAAACTTGTAACCTAATTTTCCGAAGTACATTTACACCAGCAAAAAATAAAGCAAATGTCACATTTCCTTGGCCAACCTTAGAAAAAACGTTACACGTGTTAAAAATTATTCACTTTTTATTATTTTTAATCAGTTAAGAGATTCAGATTGGCTTTATTCAATAAAATAACGTCAAAGGATCTTTTTTAGATATATCTTTTTCTTAGTTGTCACTGTCAATAGTTTTTTAATGTGTCAATTAATTTATAATCACTTGACCAAGAATCTTAAAGAAAATTCCCCCTTGGTCTCCCCCTATAATGTCATTTTAACATTTATCGCTTTTTTGGTGCTGAATATATCGAGCGATCAAGATAATTTGTAATCGAGTCATCTTTGAATCCGATCTACCTTCAAAAAAGACCGTTAACGGTTCTATTATTATACGCCAGGGACTAATTCTAGCCCTTTTTGCCATTCTATCTTTCGACTTGTCATTATTTGAGGTTTCACGTGCACTTAGTTCAAAAACCGACATACGTTTCCGGATCCAAAGATTTACTATATTTTTTCTCTATCCTCATCTTGAAAATTTTCTTGTGTTATTTTCTTAAAAATCGAATAATCAAATTACCTCCGCCGCCGACTTCTTGGTGAACTCATTCATCGCTTGTAGCCACACCGCCAAGAGTTCATTAACGATGACCAAGTCGTTGTACAACCACTGTAGCACGTCATTAACCCACAACACACAAACATTGTCCGGTCCCGTGCATTGAGGTGCCGGCACATACTTGACTTTTCTGACTTCCGGCGTGGGACTCTGCCTCGTGAGCCTCTTCCTCACCGGCGGTGTGGGCGGCACGTAGCCCCCTTTCCCGCTCGGCGCGCTTTTCACGGGGGCGACGGCCGTCTTCTTCGCCGCTTTGGCGTCGACGGTGTCCACCGCCACCGGCTCGATTTTCGTTTTCGTTTCGTTCGATGCTCTCGCTGTGAACCTCGCGTAGACGATCTTCCCCAACCACAACACGAAGAGGGCGGCCAGGATCCAGCCGAAGACAAACATGGCGAGRGTATCCATAGTGGTGTCTCCAGTCGGGTCGAACGTGCAGATCAAGTCTTCAACGGCTTCCGCTAGATCGCCCATGTCGCGGCCATACTTCCACTGAGTCGTGCTCCATGCGATGGGGATATCTGCAAACACGGAGCTTTAGGCACTTTCCTGCATTTTCATCGACGCGACGACGACTATACACTAAAAATAAGCTCGCCCAGATCTCACGACTTATAAATAAAACGCCGGTGCTCCAGTTTAGAGCTATGCAAGTGGAGACAGGTCGGCATGATTCAGATTTTTATCGGGGTTTTACGAGATTTTATCCCAATCGATGGAAAAAAGATAATAAACCATCGCTTTTTCCCCTTTCGATTATGAATCGTTAAATTATGAAATGGATTTTTTTCGATTTTATGTCCATCATAACATCCAAATGAGTGCTTTAATGGATTAGTGTCCTTTAACTTTTCAAGGTTGGCAGTGAGTGACAAACTATCAACAGCGGAGAATCGGGAAGGGTTAATTGGGCCCTAGTTTATTTTATCTAATTTTATCACCTGATATTACTTTTTATTTTCTCTTAATATAATTATTATAAAAATAAAAAAATACTGTCTTAGATAAAATTTGAATATCAATATGAAAATATTGATACCTACCTACAAAAACAGGACACCCCGTATAATAGATTTTTTATTGAGATTTTAGTTCGTGTATAACTCAAAATTACTGAAATAACTTAAAAAGTTTAATTCTTTGCATAAAATTTGGATTTTCCAATCAATTTCATTTTTAGATTTTTTAGATGACTTTCGATGGCAGAATTTACAAAAATCTGGACTTAAGTTAACGAAAATTTAGAAATTTTAAGGTTTTAAGACAATTCTAATAGAATTCAGAGTTTTAAAGTCAACACTAGACGAAAATATTTTGATTTCTTCAGCCAATTTTGAAATGCGCGAAAACCTGAAAGGGTTGCCTTGCCAGCCTCAATTTTTATTGAGTGAATAAATCCATTAGCGTGTTATTTCCCTTTAAATAAATTTGAATCGAAATGATTATCTAATAACCGGAAATAATAGTAGAATGGTTTGTTCAATTTTTATTATGTTCAGTCACGCACAGGGTTTTTCGTATCACGGACTAATAAGTTGAGTTTGTTTTATTTTTTTTGTCAGGCAAAATTAATTTTTTTAAATTATACACCGAGTACTTTTACTTTATAATAATTCTAATTAAAATTCATGCGAATTTAATTATGTAAGTAGGAGAAATTTCGTATTATACGTCATAAATGGTGTTCGGTTTGTTAGTGCAGTAATTTTGTAACTGTACATTTTTACTATTAACATTAACATTGTATAGGAATTTAAACTGACTAGAGGAGAAAAAATAATTTTTGTTGAAGGTTAATGTACGGCTTTATCGTATGTAAAAAATTCCTGTATACATTTGGTACATCTGTGTTCAATGTCGGTAAAATAAATTTTTAAAATATTAAAGTAAACAAGCACTTTTATGAATCCAATATCTACCTACATTTCGTAAACCTACGTAAGTATTTGTAAAAATTCAATAAAATGAGAGACAAAAACCTACGCAAAATATGTTAATTCTCTTGTCACAATAGGGTAGAAAACAATTTTAATTTCATGTTTACATGTTTAATTTTTCGTAACCAAATTTTAAAAAAGTTCACTATAGACGTAACAAAATGCAATTTTGTTCAAATCTTTGAAAGTATTAATTCCTTTGAAGAGATACGTAACTGTTGCAACTATTAAGTATAGGAATATTCAGAAGATAAATCAAATCACCCAAAAATGTCCATTTAATTGTTTCATTACCTCATACTTCTGTCACGCCTTAAGTATTTATGTTTATTATCATTCATTGTTCCCTCCTGATTAAAAACTATTCAGTTTGTTATTACATTATTTTTAAATTATTTATAATATAAGTTATTTGCGAAATATAATTATAATTTAGTGCTTATAAACTTTTAATGCTCCATTTTTTCTTGAGATCTTTGTTATCATTAATTTTATACACTTTACAAAAAGTTAAATATCTAAAAATAACTATTACTGAAACTGATGTATATCTATCATAAATTAGTGAATCAAAACGATTTTTTTAGTAAATGAGATTATTTAAATTGTAACTAATTAGTAGATAAGTTTATGGATGCAAAACAAGCAGAGGTTAATGGGATATTTCTAAATAAAAGTGTGACATAATATTTATATTAACAGGTGGTGGTGGTAYCGGGAGTCTATAACTGTAGCAAAAAAATATTTATTAATTAGTCAATAAYTTTAGTAAAATGTAAAATTTACGTTTTATAATTCGCCCAACAATGTGTTTGTTTTATTTTCGGTCCTCCTACAATCTTAAGCCAAATCCCCAGCAATACACAGCCCGATAAAAATACATTTACTTTTCAAAATTAACCTTTTTTTCATTGCTAAGGTAACAAAGATTTCACAGGTCGACATTTACCTRAAAAAAAATCGATGTCGTAAAAGAAACACTGTCACAAATTTWCACAGWAAAATGTTAAAGAAAAGTATATTTAATATTTTAATAAATTAACTGAACTGAACGTAGAGTTATATCGTGGCCGTGTCGGCATTTACCACACTCAACACTACAAAGACCAACTTTCGATTACTGCTTGGAGCACAATGCGCCATGACTCGCTTCAAAACGTCGATACCACCACGCATTGGACATCGGGCCATGCTCTCCCTCGTTGCCTTTCCACCTCTCCATCGACTCGATGGAGTTACCCAATGCATTCACAAAAAACAACACCGA